CAAAAACGTGGAGATGAACGGCACAAACCTGTGCGCCAAACTCAAAATAGCAAATTCCATCAACTCGAACGCATAGTGAGCGAATACAGGATCAACGTCCCCTTGCAATACTTGAAAACAAACTTTGAACAAGCTCTGTACATGTGGATTTTCGATTGTGACTTCCTCGCTAACAAAAGACGACCTCACCACAGACTCAAAGAATGGTTGGAAAGTATCAAAGTATTCAAATGCATATGTGTCGAAAGCATCGATGCAATCTTGATAAATTTCCCACATTGAAGGGCTCATTGTGTTAGTGCTGTACAAGATGGATTCGGCCATTTCCAATCCTTCAGTCAAAAACATGAGCATGGAATTCTCCAAAATAAGCTTCACCACATCTTTGATGACCAACTCCAAATTCGCAGAGACTTCGGGGGAAGAGCTCATGGAAACAACCAATGAAGTTAAAGTGTTCAAAATACCGGCGGCTTGATACTCTTTGTCGATATCTGAATTCCCACCATTCGACATTTGCTCCAAAATTTCCTGCGCTAATTTGAGGAATTGTTCAACTAATCGGTATGACAACTCATTGGCATAAGGTTCCAAATTTGCTGCAAACTTTGAAACAAAAACGTCCATTACCGAAGTTAATGTATCGCTTTCAAAGTTCTTAGATAAATCGAGCAACGTTCCCATCAATTGAGGGGCTTGTTGTGCGATTCTTTCAGCCACATATTCTTCTTCGACTAGAGTTCTTAAAGCATCAATCGCAGTCAATTGGATTGGAAACTGTTCTTGGTGTTGAAAGCATGCGACAACACCGTGGAAAATGTCTTGCAACACAGCTTGATCGCTGAATTTATGAACGAATATGGCTATTGTGTCACACGCTCTAGCTGTGAGCCATGGCATCTTATCGATAGTCTCTTGTGAAAGCTCTGGATATATCACCGAGTGGATGAGCTGATCAAGTTGGCCTTGAACGGGGCTACTTTTCTTGTCCAATCTGTATGAGATCGTGGCCAATACACGAAGTGCACCCTCAGTCTGCATGGCAATTTCTAGATTTTCGCGTTCAGATGCTCTTTTTTGGAAAATATTGTTGATCAACGTGAGCAACAAGGTACCGCAAGACGAAAACTTTGTCGAAGACAATCTGAACAAGAAGTTTACCGCAGCAGTATCGGCCGTAGTGTTTTCCCGGCTCACGTCGTAAAACCTTCTGATGTACTCCTCTGGTTCATCCTCATACAACTGAATTGTTTCTTGTGAAGCGTTCAACATGGGCATGAGAACATGGGCCACTACTGCCTCTAGTTTGTCTTCCAACAAGCCGTAAGCAGGAGTCTCTATGACCTGTTCCAAGAACGCAATTAAATGGTATAAAGAGGCTTCAGATAACCACAATTCTTTTGTGGTCCATTTCTCAATTATAGCCCAATAAGCGTTCAAAATTTCTGGTACAAAGTGTGACAAGAAGTAACTAACAAAAGCTGTCTTTTTGTCCTTTGTGTTGATACCTCCGCCGTGGCGTGATATAAGTCTATGCATATTACCAAAACACCACTTTACGGCTTTAACTCGAGGGCATGATACCCTGGATTCAGCATCGGCCCGAACAACAGTGGCAGGTAAAGGTTTCGTGATGAGCATGAGGTGGTATTGACACCATTTGCCCAAATTTGATTGTTCTTCTAAGTAGGGAGGGAAGTTTGAGTATGTAGCAAACTTGAATATCTTCATGATCAAATACAACATCTCGTCTGCAGTCACGGAGTCCTCGTTCAATAATGAACAGGTTAAAGTTTCCAAGGTGGGGAACATGGTTTCAGTCACCTCATCCAAAATTATGTTTCTGAAGTTTGGTGAGTCTAATCCCGCGTAGCGATAGTTCTTGGTGTACTCGAATAAGCAGATCAAGCCAGTAAAGACATGGTCGATGTTGGTGGTATTGTTCAACAACCTGCTTGTAACTGACACAAGTTCATCCCATTTCTCGGCATTCAAAATGTGGCTGATTGCGGTAGACAATTGTACTCTCAACTGCGTATTTTTGTAAGTCTGACTCAATACCTCGATCAATTCGGCCTTAATCGTTGCCTTTTCGGCATCCTGAATGTGTCTTGACGTGGCAGTTTTGAGCTCCGGTACAATCCAATAATTGTTGATTCTGTTTTTGAAAAAAATAGCCGCCGAGGTTTGGACTCCTAAGTTGATGCTGGTGTCAGTGATGAGGCTAAGAAGATACGCCGTGAATCCCGGCATTTCCTCGAAATACCTCAACTGCTCCTCGCTTTGCTTTCTAATTTGATAATTAGCATCTAAAGTGCCCGCGAGCGACTTGAGGAGAGATTCCTTATCCATTATCGACAGTACTCTATTTCAGGTTTATCAGACCGACTTCTCTCTTTATTGGGAGTGAAGGGGAAAAAAGATTGGAACGAAGAGAAAAGTGAGAGAACTGGCAGGTCGGGACGTGCGCACACCGTCAAATTAGGTGAGTCTCCCTCCAAGTACTTCTGTTATCTGACTAAATTAGAAGCACACGTAAAATACACAGTTTTAGGCACCACACATCGGACATTACTTGATTATCTCACCCCAAACATACAACTAAGTTTCTGTGCAAGATTCCGTGCCAGTGTTCGTACCGCTCTGGTTCGCTGACACCCGACACCTAATATAAGTAAACCCACTCGCATAAAATATCTTGGAAACAAACAACAATACAAGGGAAGGTCAAAATATTGTCAGTATTTGTAATGTCGAAAATTGAGCGGTGATACTTAGTGTTTGCCTAAATTTTGAAAGCAAAACTAGGTGATTTATATTTTTTCAAAGCAAAAAGTCTTTTGTTGCTTTGGAAAGTTAGGAAAATTAATATGATATTTGTAAACAAGCACATATGAACATTTTGCTTTTTTGTGCAAACAAAAAAAATACCGACAAGCCTAACAAGAGAAAACTTCTGAAATAAACTCTATGTATT